GTTGCTATCACAGAATAACGTGGCTGGTTTATCCATCTCAACATGTAAATCTTTTAGGACATAGCTCAGCCATTGAATTTCACAGGTGGTAGCAGCCAGTGCTCTATATTCAGCTTCGGATGAAGATCGTGAGACTGTGCTCTGCTTCTTTGATTTCGAGGAGATTAGAGCATTGCCCAAAAAAACACAGTAGCCGGTAATGGATTTCCGGCTCTCGGAACAAGCAGCCCAATCGGAGTCTGAGAACACCTTCAGATGAAGCTCAGAGTGTTTAGGGAACAACAGCCCTTGACCTGGAGCTTGCTTGATGTATCTCAGAATGCGGTGTGCGGCTAACATATGCTTGTCAGTAGGGCAGTCCACGAACTGGCTCAATTGCTGGACGGAGTAAGCTATATCCGGTCTCGTGGCAGTGAGATAGAGCATACGCCCCACCAGTCTTCTGTAACTGCTGGGATCTGGCAAAGGAGTACCATCATCATGCGTAAGTTTCAGTCCTTGTGCCATGGGAGATCTCGCCGGCTTACAGTCAATAAAGCCTGCCTCGTCAAGGATGTCTAACGCAAATTTCCGTTGGCAGAGATTCAAACCACCATCCACTTGGCGTGCTTCTATTCCCAGGAAGTAACTGATAGGCCCCAGGTCTTTGATTTTAAATGCAGCATCTAGGAATTCTTTAACAGCGTTAATTGCTTGAATACTGGGGCTGGCAGCAATTATGTCGTCGACATATATTAGCAAGGCAATGAAGTTGTCATCTACCCCTTTGGTAAATAAAGAAGGTTCGGTCTTGGACTGTTGGAAGCCGATTTGTAGCAGAGCCGAACTCAATTTCTCATTCCACTGACGACTCGCTTGTTTGAGTCCGTATAATGATCGAAGCAACTTACAGACTTGGTTGGGCTTCTCACTCTAAAATCCGGGAGGCAAAACCATATAAACATCCTCATTTAAGTCGCCCTGTAGGAAGGCGTTGTTGACATCCATTTGATGGATGTTCCAATCTTTAGATGTGGCCACAGCCAGTAGAGTTCGAATGGTGGTTAGTCTAGCAACCGGGGAGAATGTCTCCAAATAATCCACACCAAATTGTTGAGTGAATCCCTTCGCTACAAGCCTCGCCTTGTGCCGTTCGACTGTGCCATCCGAGCGCAACTTGACTTTAAAAATCCATTTGCACCCTATTGGTGTTTTGCCTAGGGGAAGGTCGGTGAGTTCCCATGTGTGGTTGTCTTGAAGAGCCACGATCTCGGCATTCATTGCCTTTTGCCAGCATTCTTGCTGAGCAGCTTGCTTGTAAGTCCGAGGTTCTTTAATTGAGGAAACAGCTAAGGCCAGCATCTTATGTGCAGGAGTAAGGGAATCATAAGACATTACTTTTGATAGCAAATGTGGAGAACTCCTGTGACTTATGGCACTGTCACAGTAATAGTCAAAGAGCTTTGTTGGCACATTTCGTTGTCTGCTTGATCTCCTGGGATTAATATTGATCTGACCAGCTTCAGATTCTTCATCATGAACAGATTGCGGCTTAGACTGATCATTATTGCTAGGATGATCATTATTGCTGCCATCTACATCATTATTGCTAGGATGGATTGCCGGCTCACATGATTCACATACTGGCTGTTCGAACACTGGGGGGTTGTGTCTCAAGAATGAAGGAGGTCCCTCACTGTGACTAACACTCGTACCATGCAAGTGTTCCTGATCAGGTGTGGGTAGACCAATGTCTTCATTACTGGAAATATGTGGTAACGAGGGGTTGAACACCTGTGAATTGTCATCAAAAACTTGATTATCCATAGGGAAGCAATGTTCATAAAAGATCACATCTCGGGATATGAAAATGGATTTGTCTTGCAGATCATATAGCAGGTATCCCTTGGTGTTTGCTGGTCTACCAATGAAGATACACTGTTTACTGCGCGGTGCCATTTTGTGGCGAGCTGTAGGCAGAGTGGCTGCATAGCTAAGGCAACCGAACACCCTCATATCATTAAGGTTTGGTGGCTGCTTGTATAATTTCTGATAGGGACTTAACCAATCTGTAACCGGAGAAGGAACCCTGTTGATAATGTATGTAGCATAAAGAACACACAATCCCCAGAACTCAAGAGGAAGATTGGCTTGAAAACGAAGTGCCCTAGCCACACTTAGGACATGTTGATGCTTCCGTTCAACCACTGCGTTCTGCTGGGGAGTATTAACACATGATGTCTGATGGATTATCCCAGTTTCACCAAAAATTCGGCCATCTTGAATTCTAATCCGTTATCACTACGAATGATCTTTATATTTGCACCATGTTGAGTCTGAATTTTTCTGTGAAAGCTTTTGATCACTGCCCTGGCTTCAGATTTATTTTTCATCAGATCACTGCCCTGGATCCACCGCCTTGAGAATCCACGACTTAATCATCAAATTACATCTTCTCCAAGCGCCGTAATTGCTCTGATTTCTGTCCGGTTTCGCCGCACTGCCATCGACAAGGGACCATTTGTTCTTCACCTCCAACGCCACTTGCATGGAGATGCTCCATGATCCGTAATTGTTACTGCCTGTGAGAACCGGACTGACTAAGACGCTATTAGGATTCTCATTCGCGTTGAAATACAGAGGATTCTCCATATCCTCGACTTGACTTCTCTGGAAGTTGCTCGGTGCGACTGCAATTGCCGGAGACTGATTCGTTGAAGGCGTCGGACTCGCCGGCTGATTGGATACGCCGCCAGTAACTGCCGTAGCGTAACTCGACCTCCATGGCTCTGATACCATGATGGAATAGTGACTCGCTATTGTGAATGTGAAAGAGAGATCATACTGGAAGGAAGGAATGAAACCAGTCGATTCAATGAATGAGAAAGTTGGTCAGTTACAAGCAGGTATGAAGCATTAAGTACACAAGGAAAAAGGCGCCAAAGGCCGTTGCAACCAACTAAGGAGATTGACAAAATTATCCCTGGCTAATCTCATGCATATGGTCTAATATGTACAGTGGTTTAGTGTAAATATACCCAGGAGAAACGTTGGTAATGGTGGGGATGTGAAGCCTATTAAACCAAGGGGACAGAGGAGGGGATGAATGAAATTGAAAGGCGTTGTTGGGAATCGTGATTCTCAGGGATGCTCGGGAAAACGAGCCTAAACTTGAGGAAGGAGGAGAAGGCCATTTTAGTCCAAGTTTTAAAATCTTTCCATTTTTATCAACATTTTATCAACAAAACAAATTGTATTCCCATTTCAGTCATCAACTCCTAAGATTTGGTCATTTGCAATATAGAGATTAAGAATTTAGGATAATGATCTTTGAGCAATATAGAGATTAAGAATTTAGGATAATGATCTTTCTCAAAGATCGGAATAGTTACACATTCATCTCAACATTATCTTTATTTTACGTTGCTTTTTGGATAATGCTTTGGCGGCTGAGATTTTTTAATTGTTTGCAGAGGAAATTGGTTTGCGCTATGTTAGACTAGGTACATGCACTATCCATTCTGCTTATCAAAACATGTCTTTAATTTTAATTAATTAAAGAAAAATGACTTTAATTTTTAATTAATTTTAAAATATCTAATAAAAAGTGTCATTATCAAATCAAAAGTATCATGTCAACTTAGAATTATTACAGAAAATGGTTACAGTTATGCACTTATAATACATAGATAAAAAAAAAAAAAAAAATTACATCGGCTTAATTTTTTATTTTATTTTTTGCTTATCGGTTTAATTAATTCTACAAATTGCATTTAATATTTTTATTTTGAAATACTATCTCTTATAGTTCTTTTTGCAAAAGTAAGTTGGACTTTAATTTATTTTATACTAATAACCAGTTATTTTACAAGAATGACAACTTTTTTTTCCCTCATTACCAAAACTAAATTTTTATTCATTCCTGACTATATTCTTCACATAATAATAATAAAAAAAAATCTCCCAATTTTACTTTTTATATTAACCGTTTTATATTTCTGGTCATTTATTTAATTTGGTCAATTAGGTTGAATCATCCCGAATTAATTTTCTCCATCAATATTAAATTCAACAATTAAGTTTAATTATGTGACAATTCAAGGACATCATCATTGTCACAGGTAAATGATTGATATAACTTGTAAAATAGATCAGGTTGGATTTTACTATTTTTTAAATGAATCAATACCATTTAATAATATAAAAATAAAATAAAGTGACTAATAAAATCATTATTAGAGAATTATTTTCACTTTTGATCTACAGCTATTAAGTTTTCTAAATAAGAAAACAAGTCTAACTATTCATTCATATTCATTATTTACGTTGTTTCTTATATTTTGTTCTCAAGTAGTATTATTTTTGTCACATTTAGTGCATGATTTTTATGACACATTTGATGCTTCTAACCAAATTTCTTGTAAAAATTAGTTAGAATGCATCATATTTAATTTCTAGTTCAAAATTGTATGTTATCGTTTAAAAAGTAATAAAGTGTTTAATTTGACATGGTTTTGAACCGAAAATGTGACACATTTCAACCATTTGCTATAGGAGATTTGTTTAGAAGGACCAGATATGACCGAATACCAAATGTAACAAAAATAATATTTTGTATTCAGATGTGAAAATATCTAATAATAACCATAAAATCAAATATATAAATAATTCAAATTTTGAGCATATATATACAGTGTAGATGAATTTGCATAATGATATAGGATCTATAATTCAAATTAAATTTGCACACTATAATTGAAAGTTGGACTCCAATTTTTTGAAAACGGCTAAGTATGAAACGATTACAACGTATGTAGTTTGAGTCTGCATGCTATGGGGTGTGGGCTACACCTCTTTGAAGGTCGAAAAGTCATTTTTAGCTGCCATAAAAAGATATATTTCATTTCATTGGTCTTCAAAGGCTACTTTACTACATACTTAAGACCAAATAAAATAATTGAATTAAGCCACCAACTCCAACACCCCAAACCACTATAAAAAGGGGTTCAAGATCGAATCAAAGAATTCACTCACCTCTCAAGTCTCATCCCATCCATCTTAATACATATATTTAATTTGCACATTTTATTATTAAACTATGCCTTCATCAACACTCTCCACTGTTCTCTCTGACATCAATGACTTCGTGGTGAAACAAGGCCATGGAGTGAAGGGCCTTTCGGAGCTTGGCCTCCAAACTCTCCCCAACCAATACGTTCACCCACCGGAGGAGAGGTTATCCAGCATGGACGTCGTTACCGACGACTCCATTCCGGTGATTGACGTCTCAAACTGGGAGGACCCAAAGGTGGCTAAGCTCATTTGCGATGCCGCCGAGAAGAGGGGTTTCTTCCAGATTGTGAACCATGGGATTCCCCTTGAGATGCTGGAGAAGGCTAAGACGGCCACTTACCGGTTCTTTAGGGAGCCGGCGGAGGAGAAGAAGAAGTATTCCAAGGAGAATTGTCCGACTAGCCATGTGAGGTATAGTACAAGCTTTCTTCCACAGATAGAGAAGGCTTTGGAGTGGAAAGATCACCTCAGTATGTTCTATGTTTCCGACGAAGAAGCTGCTCAATATTGGCCTCCTTCTTGCAGGTACCTCACTATTTATATGTTCATCCTTTTTCCATGCAAGAATGAAAATAACATATATTCTGAACTTCTTTAATTTGTCCCTGCAGAGATGGTGCACTGGAGTACCTGAAAAGCTGTGAAATGGTGAGTAGGAAGCTATTGGAGGCATTGATGCAAGGACTAAACGTGAACGAAATTGATGATGCCAAACAATCACTTCTAATGGGTTCACGTAGGATCAACATCAATTACTACCCAAAGTGCCCCAACCCGGATCTCACCGTCGGCGTCGGCCGTCACTCCGACATCTCCACCCTCACACTCCTCCTCCAGGACGACATCGGAGGCCTCTACGTGCGTAAACTGGAGCACGAGGCCTGGTCGCACGTGCCGCCGGTGAAAGGCGCTCTGGTGATCAACATCGGCGACGCTCTCCAGATCATGAGCAATGGTCGATACAAGAGCATCGAGCATCGCGTTATGGCCAATGAGACCAACGACAGGATCTCCGTCCCTGTTTTCGTGAACCCGAAGCCTAACGATATCGTGGCGCCGCTCCCGGAGGTGCTGGCGAGCGGGGAGAAGGCGGTATACAAGCCGGTTCTCTACTCCGACTACGCCAAGCATTTCTACCGGAAAGCTCATAATGGGAAAGACACTATTGCCTTCGCCAGAATAGAATAAGGAATGGAAGTTCAATATCAACTATACTAATCATATGCGATAATTACATATTTGTTAGCACTACTTAGCATGCTTCATTATTTTATATGTTTCCAATAAGTTCGATTATTATGAAATTAATAAAAACTTTCACCCGATTGTTTAATGTATCTTATATGAGTTTTTTTTTTTTTTTTTTTTTTTTTTTTTTTTTTTTTTTTTTTAAAGCAACCAATGTGGTTATATTTAGAGATAAACTGAAATAGTGTTAGGGACAGAGTCCTAATACATAGTCATAGAAAGTTGTGTAGCTGTAGAAGCTAATGTGTCAGCTAATAAATTCTGCGATCTAGAAACAAAATTATCTGAGCAGAAATTAAACGAAGACATGCAAGCTCTGCAGACATCAATAGCATAACCAATATATGATATGGGTGGAGCTCCTGGTGACGATAAATAGCACTGGAACGTCTGACAATCCGTGTAAATCTGGACGGCCTATTCATCACGCTCTCGTAGCCATGATAAAGCCTCTTTGCACTCGAACGCCTCGGCCATGAGCGGGGAGAAGCAGCTCGGCAAAGGGGCACTTTACGCCGCAACGTATCCTTCGTCGGCGTTTAGCAACACTGCACCCACCGTGGCCGAATTCGTGGTATGAAAATATGCGGCATCTATATAGCATTTCCTTGGTCGTGTATCCACCGTAGCAGCAGCAGCAGATTCCGGCAGTGGAGGTCCGGCAGTGGTAGCAGCAGCAACGTTGTCGGCAGCGTCCCGGTCGGCCGAGCAGTGTACCCGACGCCATGCATGCGTTGCGGCCACAACGACAATCAATTTCCTGGGTAGGGGTAGACAGACATCCCATACTGCTCCATTTCGTGCTCTCCAAATATGATATAGAATCGCAACCGCATATATAATTCCATTAGTGTCTAGAACATTTAAGATTGCACTAAACTACTCATGGAAAATATTTGTCACAATATTGGGCAATGGGAGGTTGGATTGAGCCCATATGGAAGTAGCATAGCCACACGATACTAATGAATGCATAATGTTTTCTTGCATGATTCCACACCTGGCACATATCGGATCCACATCCACCCTCTTTATAAGCAAATTGTTGGTAGTGGGGGATATCACTTATAGCTCTCCATAAAAATGTCTTCCACTTTGGGGGATTTTTAGTCTCCACAGGGTGAGCCATTTATCAAATGCCCCATTATTATTATTTGTATAGTTCCCAACAATACGCCTGTAGCCGTTCTTTACAGAATAGCAACCTTTCGGGTCCCCATGCCAATACCACATATCCTCATAGCCTGGGGAAATTGGTATCTTTAGGATTCGGGGCACACATCACTTGGTTGGAAAATATCCGAGACAATAGGATGGTCCCAAGTCCCTGCATGTATTCTGATCTATCAAGCCAAGCACTTTAGCTCCCGCCAGCTGCGGTGGCATCTCCGTATGGATCATAGGATCTAAGTCATCCTGAAGCCACGGGTGCTCCCAAATTAAAGTAGAAATTCTAGTCCCAACACGCCGTCTCACTCCACCACAAACCAGTTCTTTAGCTGCCATAATACTACGCCAACAGTAACTGGGGTTATTTCCTAGACATGCCTCAAAGAAAGTCTGTTTAGGATAATACCTCGCTTGATATACACGGGACACCAATGAGTCAGTGTTGGTAAGCATCCGCCATGCCTGCTTGCCTAGTATTGCTAAATTAAATGCTCTCAGATCCTTGAAACCCAGCCCCCCATATTTCTTTGGGACACACAATTTATCCCATGCTTTCCAATGAATTCCATGGTCAGTACCGGATCCCCACCAATAACGGTTCATTGTCCTCTCAATGGCCGTGCAAACAACTACAGGTAGTAAAAAAACACACATCCAAAAAGTAGGCATAGACTGAGCCACACTTTTTAACAAGATTTCCTTACCTTCCTGTGTCAGTAGATTTTTATTCCATGATCCAATTCTTTGCCTGATTTTATCCTCAATATATGCAAATGCTGCCCGCTTATTCCTCCCAATAAAATAGGGTAAGCCTACATACTTTCCGAAATTAGGAGCTTGGGTGACCCCTAAAATCTGTGTGACCTCTTCCCTATTCTCTTCCCTCGTATTCTTACTATAGCAAATATTAGACTTCTGATAGTTTGACTGCTTGCTGGGATAAACTCTCATACACCAACAAACAGTTTTTAATTTCAGTGGCCTCTTGCACATTAGCCCTAAAGAACAAAAGACTATCATCAGCAAAAAATAAATGAGAGATTAGGGGCGCCTCTAGCAACTCTGCATCCATGAATTAAGCCGTTATTCGTATCTTATATGCGTTTAGTTTCTCTCAATCTCATAATATAATGCATGCATATTCATTTTGATTTATTATCTTTCTTCTTATCCTTTTCTTCATATTTATAGCTAGTATTTCATCATTTTCCTATTCTCGATCTTTTTCTTCCTATTTATAGCTAGTATTTCATCATTCTCCTATTCTCGATCTTTTTCTTCCTATTTATAGCCAACATTTCATCATTTTTTTCTTTTCTCTGTACTTTATTGCTATCTTTACACACTTTCCTTTATATTTTTAGATTATAACATCTTCGTGGCTCACCGATACACTGCATTCTCAACGGAAGAAGCTCGATCAAATTTTGTCAATTCAGTTAAACTTTTCCATAAAAACAGCTGTGGATCTGTTTGGTTTCGATTTGAATAGGATAGAAGCAAGCTAACGAGAAGTGTTTGGACACAAATTCTCTTTAAAAGTAATTAACGCATTGATGATGCATTTACTTGCGTCAAACGTCAGTTAAGAGACCACTTTAACCGCACTTAGCTTGCACTTCTCATATCATGCGTGACACAAATGATATACTAAAATCAAAAAATAAAAAAATCCTTAAAGAGAAAATGATTAACTATCTAATATGGTAATTTGAAATGGTTAATAAGTGGATAACTAATGTAATTAGATGTTTTGGCGGCTGAGATATTTAAATGATATACGTAGTCTTGGAAGCGAACTATACCGTTAGGTTGAGTCCAAAAACTAACATGTAATATACAAAAAGTGAACCAAATGAAAATAAAGTATATTAAAAATAAATATGTATGTCAATTGACACCAATCCAAGATGCTTATCTCCATCCAACAATTTAATTATATACATTGGTGAAGGATCAATATTGCACAATTTGAGAGGCTAATTTGACAACGATGTGAAACAAATAACTATATATTATATTTACATTCACATTATAGTAAAAGATAAAATTAAATCAATTAATTAATTATCAATCATCGAGAGATTATATATGTAATATATTCAAGGATTTTGTTGGAGGGGCTTGATAGCAATGTGAAACAAATAACAATGATATTTACTTCCACATTATAGTAAAAGATAAAAGTAGTATGGAGTAGTAGTTTTGAATTCATTACCAATTGCAAAATAATTTGGGCATATTAATTTTATGATGTGGAAGTTTGTTATATGACAAGTTTAGTGAACCTAGGGGTACTAATAATAACATATAAAAAATTTTAGCATTGTCAATTGACACCAATCCAAGATATTTATCTCTTTTTAAGCAATTTTTGAATGAAGGATTAATATTGCAAAGTTTGTGAGACTAATTTAATTTGTCAACAATGTGAAATAAATAACAAAAATATATATTTTCAAGCACATTATAGTAAAAGATAAAATTAACTCAACTAATTGTCTTTATTAGTACCAAGTGGCTTGTAGTCCACTGGTATCGGATTGCTCTCCTATGTGAGAGGTGTAGGTTTTGAGCCTCAGTGTAGGCATAGATTGTATGGGTATTTCCCTTCCTTTGTAATAAAAAAAAAAATTGTCTTTATTAGTTTTGACAACGATGTGAAACAAATAACAATTATATTTACATCCATATTATATAAATAAAAGATAAAATTAAATCAACTAATTGTCCTTTTTTTTTGACAGCCTATGATCCGATGTAAAACAAATAACAATGATATTTAATTACTTCCACATAAACAAGATAAAAAAAATCAATTGTTAATAATTAAGAGATATATTATATATTTAAAGACTTCTATTGTCCGATCACAAAAATGTGTCCTAAGCCCGTCAACTAGTAACTAACCGCACACCAAAATTAATACTGAAAAGACTCGTATCATTTCATCCATGCTACATGAGTATATTTAAAGAATTATAATAATTAATTAAAAAATATCTAATTTTATCAAAATATATAAATAATAAAAACTTTCAATAAAATCAATTAACTAAATAAATTAATACGGTTAAAAAATTAATTAACTACTAACAACTAAAATTTCATTATCAACTAAGAGCTAATCACTAAACAATCCAACATCACCTTTAAATTAATAGGATGTCGGCATTTATAGTTAGAGCATTACTTCAAAATTTTCAAATCGGTAAGTGATCCAAAGTCTTAAAAGCTATTGAGTCAATGATTGACACTCCACTTCCTAAAAAGGAAGCAAACTTAGATTTTGTTTGTTTTTCTATTTTCCAATTTAGAAAACATATTTAGCAACACCATTTTCTTTGTTTATCTTTCTCTAAAAAAAAACTTGCAATTAATATAATTAACGCACCTTTATCATTTCCATATGGAAGTTACCCGCAAGTTGCAAGAAAATAATTGTTGGACTCTCTAAAAATAAAATTTCGAACGTGTCTTAATTATATCAGAGAAAAAATTATAAAAATATGTGACACTTTAAATTTTTTAAAAATGTTATTTTCCCTTCCCAATTTTAAGTTACTTGTTAATGTCGAGATATAATGATAAAATTCATTATATTTATTGTATTCAATTCATCGGTTATCATCTTTCAATATATATAATTGAACAATTTCAATATATATATTCATCGGTTCATGTTCCGAACTGAAAAAATAAAATAAATTTATTGTTGAATTTAGACTATTTTAAAATAAAAAATAAAATTTTAAAATAAAGACAGTTCAAAATCGCGAACCGGATCCAGAACCCCCAGTTCACGGTTCAGGATCCAGTTTTTTTATTCATAATTTTAATAAATTGAAGTACAAATCTTGGGTTCTAAATCTGAATCATAATCGGAAACTTTAATTCGATTGCTATAGTGTTCGGTTCAATTCAAACCAAACCGTGGTCATCCCAACGTATACACAATAATTTGTTGGAGAAGTAAAATAAATAAAATGTTTACTTTAAGTGTAGAAATGTCAATTTAATATATCAGGGAGAAAAATTACCACTTTTAGAATAATTGAAGGGGCTAATATGCTTACATAAATAATTCAGAGAAAAAAGTGCTATAAGTATATAACTCAGGAAAAAATGTGTAATTTTTCCTAAAATAATTTTACTATCAACTTGACTTTTATTTAATTGAGATTGAGTACATGTATACTTCAATTTAGCAAAGTTCATGGGTTCTATTGCATTGAATTCATTTGAAAAAAATCATTTAACAAGTAAGGCACATAGAATTTGTGTGACTTCCCATCCCAGGCTGTGATTGGTCAATATTGCACATCCCTCAGCTCCTTGTTTGAAGCTCTAAAAGTCATTTTCAAGACAGTTGCCTTCAATTCAATGATAGAATTTTAGTCTTTAAAGGCTACGGTGTTACATTCATCTCATCTTATACTCAAAAAACATTAAATAATAGAGAAAAGCCACCAACTTCTCCCAGCTCCCTTTTATCAATTTTCTCCCAATCCCCACACAATAATTTCACTTGTTGCAAGACTCAACTCAAATTATCAAATTATTTTGACATATATGCATATTAAAGTGTATATGCATAGTTTCTTTTGTACAATTTAAACATGAGAAGTTTCAAACAAAAATGCTTTTATGTTATTTAACTTTTAAAATAATATAATAAAATAACTTTCATTAGGTGGAAGGAATTTTGAATAAAGATTTTGAATTTTGAATAAAGATTTTCTCATAAAACGAGAGTATGAGACCTACTTACATTGAAGTAAAAAAATTGTGATGTGTATGTAGTGTATGTCAGAATATCATTTTTTATTTTGTCAAAAAAAAGAAAAGTACGTCTTTTAGTTAATTGATTTTGTTGCAAGTTTGTACCCATTTCTTTAAAGAACTAATTTATGTCATCCATTGGTCTTTATTATTATTATTATTATTATTATTATTATTATTATTATTATTATTATTATTATTATTATTATTATTATTATTATTGTTACTATTGTTACTATTGTTACTATTGTTATTATTATTATTATTATTATTATTATTATTATTATTATTATTATTATTATTATTATTATTATTATTTTCTATGCGCGAGGCGCAAAAAAGTCAAAAACATATGCCCAATATTTATATCTTTTAAATAATTAACTAATCCCTACTAATTAAAATATATATGAAATCAAATTTATTTATTATAATAATCCAATATATAATGTCTACAAAATATTATTATCATTAAAGAATATAAGAAAATATACGGTGGATGCATGTGCATGATAACAATAATGGAAAAGATAACGGAAGTTATAACGGTAGAGGTATTTTTGTCCAAAAAATTATATAGTACAACTCTAAAAGCATAATGCACAAAATGACTAACATTAAAAATAGAAATAAGGGTCAAATAGGCTATCGAACTGCACACAATAATGCAATTAGGTCACCGAACCTAAAAAAGTTACAATTAGATCCCTAAACTAACGATTTTCTTGCAATTCATCTATTTTGTAAGTTTTATAGGTTACTTACAAGGTTACTTTTAATTTAAAATATTTTTTAAAATATTTATTATTTAAATAATTATTTTAATTTTTTTTAAAAGAAAAAAAAAAAGAAAGATACAGATCGTCTCTGGCTGATCGGAGATGAAGAGTTCTTCGTCTCTAGTCGGAGACGGTTTTCTGTTTTTTTTTTAATAATTATTTTAAATAATAAATATTTTAAAAAATATTTTAAATAAAAAGTGACCTGCTAACGACCTAGAAAACTTACAAATTAGACAAATTGCAAGAAAATGGTTAATTTAGGGATCTAATTGTAATTTTTTAAGTTCAGTGGCCTAATTGCATTATTGTGTGCAGTTCGATGGCCTATTTGACCCTTATTCTTTAAAAATATGAACATAAATGAGGGATATAACTTTGATTGAGACT